ATCTATGGTTCATTGTAGTCCAGCTAACGAGAAACCCGACTAAGTGAGATCTGCGTACCAAGGGTTAACACATATAAAATTCAATTTGTATTCATATGAGGAACGAGCCAGAGCTAGGAACTTCATTTCATCTGGCCAGGATAAACATTTTTGTCCGATTTCTACCGCTAATATTATGGAATTGAAGAGAGTGTAGTGAGGGGGGGGGGCTGAAAATCAGTAAACGGTAAACATTTTGATATTTTAACGGTAAAATGTTGGTATACTGTTTTAACGGTAAATCTTTGCGGAAAAGTGTTCTGAAACGATAAACAGTATTTTTCAGTTTCTCGCGTTTCACGGTAAATTCTTAGTGCATGTTTTCACGACTGACCGGCCGTAGCCGAAATTGAGTATACCACATCGCCCTCATTGAACGGCATATAGTTAGACCCTAGCCCAAGGCCTGCATGCAGTTTGTTTAAGTACAACAAAAATATATTGTATACTATGAAACAGGCTCTTGTCTGGCTTTACTCTGTAGTATCTCTATAACCAGACTGACAATTTAGAAGCGAATTAGCCATATATCTATAAGTACCTTTTGGTTGTTAATTGTATCGTTGAAAAGATGTTTATTAAACTGACTAATGCATGGTTTGGAATTGATGCTGCATGTTTATAAATATGTTTTGATCATCAGTGACATCACGCATTTAACTAGTATTATATATAGAGCAACATATTCCTATGAACTATTTAAAACACTTAAACACGAGCAGAAGTGATTAATCAGGCATAAGAACGAGAAAGCCGAGGGTCTTGTATGAGGGGAGGTGGGAGGGTGTCTGAGAATCAGTTAAAGGTAGCTCCTTAATTATTCGGAGCAGTTGCGTAAACTGCGACAAGTGGCCCTTTGGCAAGAATTTTTGGTCTTAACTCAAGGTTTCAACAATTTGTAATGTTAATTAGCATATTCTCCGCGCTAACATGTACACACGGCTGCTAGAACCATACAGCATGCGATAAACGCATCTTTTATCCATATTTATCTACCAAAAGGACAACTTATGTCTCGATCTGTCAACTCATATATACGCGGAGACTGTAGGGCGATCAAGCCCATTGATTACTAAAACCATAATATAAATAAACATACGTTCTTGGCGTTATGGTGGGGTATTGTATAATTGTACGGGCTTGCTCATACATCGATTAGTTATTGTTACAGGTATTTTGTCTTAAATATTTAACTTAAGCCTTCAACCCGAGCATAGGCGTATAAAGCATCGAGCGCTATATCAGTGTTGTAACGAGTCGAGTCATTGACTCTGACTCGAGTCAACTCGAGTCGCTATTTTCAGCGACTCGACTCGACTCGAGTCCAATACGAAAAATGACTCGACTCGACTCGAGTCAACAGCCCCAAATGACTCGACTCGGACTCGACTTGCTGATTTTGCCGTAAATGACTCGAGTCAACTCATCTACAACTTGTACAGAGTAAATTCATCACAATTATTGTGATTGTATTGCTTGGGAAGAACAATGAGCCCTGTAAACAATGAGAACTTTGAAACTTTATCAGAAAATATATGGGATTTGCATAGAATATATTCCTGACGGGCATACCTATATTACATTTCTGTTTTTAGAAACAACGCTAGTGCCACAGTTTTTAAAATTGAGTCTCAAATTTTTTTGTACTTATATACTAATTCTGACAGGCTATTTTCATTTTTGGTATTTATGAAGGGCTATATAATTTCAAATCAACTTACAAAGCGTTGTTAATTAAAGTCTATTCTTTGTTAATTCTGACTCCAGTTGCAAGTTTTGCTAGTTGTATGTACGTACACTCGATCAGCAGGTATGATGAAACATCTCACGTGGTTGACTGGAACTGTGATATTGGCACAGCCTATAGCTGCCCAGATACTGTTATTAATTTAAATGACTAAAGTAATTAGTTTAAAACGCAAATTTGATTACTAATTTCCGACAGCAAGCTAGGGTAGCTCAAGTAAAGTCTAGAAATTGACTCGACTCGACTTAAATCAGTGACTCGACTTGACTCGAGTGAAGCCGCTGACTCGACTCGACTCGACTCGAGTGAAGCCACTGACTCGACTCGACTCGACTCGATCAAAAACTGAAATGACTCGACCCGTGACTCGACCTTTGAGTGACTCGACTCGACTCGTGACTCGACCTGTAGGTGACTCGTTACAACACTGCGCTATATACTATACTACTAATGTTCCATGGCGGGCTTTGTGCAATAAAATATACCCTGACTGTATATATACCCAACCATTAAACACATGTTCGAACGAACTAAAAAGTTCTTGTCATTCGTACAAACTGTTAGGCTGTTGAAAGCTTGAAACTTGTCAAGATATCCAATTTCTGGTTAGGTGGAAAACGCGGACACGCAAGTCAAGTGGAAAACGCGGACATGCGGACATGCGGACACGCAAGTCAAGTGGAAAACGCGGACATGCGGACACGAAATTTACTAAACTTCAAAAAATCTATTACGACAATAATTAATAATTTTTCGCGTGATATTGAAAGTTATCAATGCCGAGGTTGTGTTTTTCTCTCTCTTTTCTCTGTCTTAGTTTGTAAGCTCGTTTAGTGTATTTCGCTTCTTTTTTTAGTTACAAAAACAAATCTCGCCATGGGCCATGGCTTTATATGTTCTGCATGTAAAGAAGCTCGTTTTCTGCTGGCAGAATTGATGTCATATTTCCATTCAGAAAGCTACATCTGCAGGTGTGATGCCATAATTACACAATCAAAACGGAGATTGTATAGGAAATAATGACTGAAAATTGATAATGCATTGTTGCGCGAACTTTTACTGTTTTCATGTATTTTACTTACAGTATTGAAGATTCTGAAAAATCCATTCATTATAGCACCGAAAGTTAACTCATTTGTTTAATTAAGTGCATTCAACTTAGCCGAGTAAGTGTGCTTCAATACTAAAATTCTGGCAAATTTTACAGGGAAAGTTTTGTCTGAATGAAGATTTAATTAATTTGAAAGGGTTCTATTTTAAGGGCAGAATGTCTTCCTACCGCTTGTTCCGGACAACATGAAACTTAATGGATTACAGGCTAGGCTTGGGTAAATTATGCCGCCATAATTTCGAGCATAATAGGGCTTCAGAAGCATAATAGACACTTATTACGAGGATAGTCGGCATAATTGGCCGTTTTCTAGCAATTCAAAAATAATAAAATAATGCTTTGGCTTTGGGGCTAGAGTCTAAAGAAATAAAAAAATAAATGAGGATGCTCTGTTTTGATTGTGTAATTATGACATCACACCTGCAGATATAGGTTTCAGAATGTAAATATGACATCAATTCTGCCAGCAGAAAACGAGCTTCTTTACATGCAGAACATATAAAGCCATAGCCCATGGCAAGATTTGTTTTTGTAACTAAAAAAGAAGCGAAATGCACTAAACGAGCTTACAAACTAAGACCGAGAAAAGAGAGAGAAAAACACAACCTCGGCATTGATAACTTTCACTGTCACGCGAAAAGTTATTAATTATTGTCGTAATAGATTTTTTGAAGTTTGGTAAATTTCGTGTCCGCATGTCCGCGTTTTCCACTTGACTTGCGTGTCCGCATGTCCGCGTTTTCCACTTGACTTGCGTGTCCGCATGTCCGCGTTTTTCACTTGACTTGCGTGTCCGCGTTTTCCACCTAACCCCAATTTCTGAAGTCGAAGACAAAGTCGATTTCACACTAAATGTAGCCAGCATAAGCTTTATCGCAAGTCGGCTCGAATCCCAGTTTCCTCATGACATTTACCAATAGCGTTTAATGCTAGCTCACATATATTAAACCGGTCTTTGAAGCTTCTCTCCGTTTCACTGTTTGTTTACCAACGCCAGGAGGCCAGGCATGCTTTACAAATGCTATTTGTAAGGGACCGGTCATTATTTATGGCGGGGGGTGGCACCGAAGAGAAAAGGTGAGTAAAAGGTTGGGTAAATGAAAAACGAAACAACTCAAAGGTTGGGTAATAGAAATTTATTGTCATTTCCAAAGCATGAATCACTCAAATATTGAAGACTGAAAACTTCAATGTCAACAGTCATCTGTCAATACAATATGTGAATCAATCAGAGTCACTATCTTCATCATTTTCCGATTTATTGAGAGACAAATGGTGTCTCCAAAGAAAGTAAATGTGCAGACAACATGAAACTTTAGACTGCAGAAAAGTCAGTAAATTTCACAAGCCGAACGTTATTAAACTCGTATCACAGAGTGGTGAATGACATATGTGACAACTGAATGACATCCTTTTGTAATGTTTTTGGCCAGGGGTGGGTATTTATTTTTTAAATGATACTTGAGGTTGGGTAATCAAATTTTTGATTTTTTAATGGTTGGGTCAGCAAAATTTTTGCCACGAAAAACATTTCTCTTCGGTGCCACCCCCCACCATAAATAATGACCGGTCCCTAAGTGAAATGGAGAAGGAAAGGTCGTCTAACTCCTTACGCACAGTGTCCTTGCTGTCCAAGAAATTAATATTGCTTTTATTCGACGGGACTTTGAAGTAAAGAACAAATTTGTATTGCACAAAGCCTGCCATGGAACATTTTAATAAAGCGCCAAATGAAAATTTACATTCACGCACGCTTCAGAAATTTGAATAAATTGAAGTTAATTTACCCAAAACGTAAACGGATATGACGTAGGCCGGGCAAGCTTTTCTTCGTTTATTCGTAGACCCCTCACGAAACGTGTTTCTGCTGGGGTCTACCACTGGGGTGATCTTTATTCTATGACTGGGGTCTACACCGTAGGCTAGGGGTTTCCTAGCCTGCGTGGAAGGCCCCCAATTTTATGGGGGGCCTGATTTGCAAATCAGGCCCCCCATAAAATTGAGGGCCTGCCACGCAGGCTAGGGGCACTGAGGGGTTTCCTGTTTTGCTGAAGCTGTAGCCTGCACTCAGGCGGTGCTGGCCAAATTGGTATTCATTTTGGGGCGCCGAGTTGAACAAAGCAAATTTGACTTCTTGCCCAAATTTTAAAGCAAAATTAAACAAGAAATGTCGAAGTCTGAACCTCGAGAGAAACTCAAAGACTGAACTAAGGTATATACTTTCTATTTTACGTAAAATGTACATGTTTCGGCGAACAAAACTGCTTGAAATTCTTGTCAAAGTTGACAGCCGAAATTCCCTTCGGTCGCCCATTCGATATTCGTCTTGTCCTTGCGTAAAAACATTGAATTTTAGACTTGCTCTTCGCTATATTTACTTTAAATTACTAGATAAATTGTTAGATAGAATACTCAGGATGTTTTAGAGCTAAATTTATGTTAACTTTTGTCATTATAGTGAAAAGAAATATTCAGTTCTCAACCTCGTGGGTCATGTCATGGAAGCAAAGTCGATTCAGTAAAATCGCTTTCTTGCTCCAAATTTTAAAGCTAAATTAAACAAGAAATGTTGAAGTCTCTACCTCAATTCAAACTGAGAAGTATGTATATATTCTTCTGTTATATTTATGTAAAATGCATGGCCATATTTTTAGGTTCGAATATTCCATATTTTCCATATTTTAGGTTCCATATTTTTAGGTTCGTAGGTTCGAATCCCACCGTGGCCGGGCATATTTTTCAAGCTCGCCCGGTGTGGATACACACTCAGAGTAACATCACAAATATCATATTCACCTGAGTACACAACACCAACACAGAAAATATCATATTACAAGATTACACTGGTATCGAAGGAACTAGATTCTGTTCCGAAATATCACTTCCTCGAACCGTCCTGACCGCGTAGCTCAGTTGGAAGAGCATTGGGCTGGTATTCCAAAGGTCATAGGTTCGAATCCCACCGTGGCCGGGTATATTTTTCAAGCTCGCCCGGTGTGGATACACACTCAGAGTAACATCACAAATATCATATTCACCTGAGTACACAACACCAACACAGAAAATATAATATATCACTTGCTCGAAACAACTTCAAATGCCGAAGTTGACGAGCGCAACTCGCCTCGCCCGTTTGATGTGCTGTCATTGTCATTGAATTACAGAATTTAGCCTCGGCTTTTTGGTAATTCAACCCTGAATTCAACCCTTGTTAGGGTGATTTTAAAGCTAAATTTGTTTAAATATTTGTCGTTTTTGCGAAAATAATTGATACAATCATACAAACTATGCATATTGATAAGAGGAGAACCATTAGAAATGTGATGGGGGGGGACATTTTTTGTTTGTGTCTATAATTTTCTTAGATATAATCCCTTGCATGAATTTTTTTTATTTCAACTTATAATTTTCCCTGTTTAAATGTCCTTGCACAAAGTTTTTTTTTTCAACTGTTTTAGTGCACGATATATTTTCTTTCTGTTTCCCCCTGTGCAATTTTTAATTTTGCTACCCCCCTCCCCATCACTTGTCTAACGGTCCGTCCCTAAATACCGGTATTCCTTATTTTAATATGTACTTTTTGTTTGTGGAAACATCACGTGAATTTATACTGCAGCAGGAATAAATTTACGTGGTGTTTCCACAAACAAAAAGTATTATGTTTTATCGCCATGGACACCATGCAAATCTACAAAGAACTTTATATTCCTTATTTTATTGTACTGTATTAAAAATGGTGGCATACTGTACTAATTTGATTTGTTATTAATATCTTTCTAATTTTATTTTCAGGCTGAGTGGATCAAAATTGAAATGTGTGTCGCTGGAAAACCACTATACCCCCTGCACATTGGATACTCAAATTGTAAAGTGAATTCAAAGATAAAAATGTTCAATTCTCAACTTCAAGAGAAAGCCTGGTCTAAGGTATGTTCTTTCTATTTTATGTAAAATATTTGGAAAACAGGCATTTTCTTAAAACAATTCAGATTTTGAAAAATAATTTGAAAGAAAGACCACAGCCCACATGCAATAATTGGACAAATTGCCTCTTTCCGAGCAAAAATATTTAATTTTTGGATTGTTTCACATTAAGGAGTGTTCATTATTTATGGTTGGGTGGTGGGGGGGATCATAGGGGGAGGGGGAGTGTTTGTTTTTGGGGGTCACCAAAGTTTGAGGAGTAATTGAGAGGGGGTCATGAAAGTTTTAGTTCTGGCAATGTTTTGACCTTAAAATATGTTATTATAGAACATGAAAATTTTGAATTATTACATGGCTACAAGTTTACAGTGGGTCTATTGTAAGTGGGGCCACTAACAGCACTTAGATAACACTAACCATCACATTGCAGAACAAAAATAGAAATCTAATAAACTAAAGCTTGTCCAATCGAAAGAAAGCATGGAGTTCGCTTCAGGAAGCCAGTAACTGCAATGTTTAATTTTGAAGTCTATTTTTACCTTTTGACATTTGTTCAAATTGTTTTTGGCCTAATGCTGATTGGCTAATGTGCCGTTTGTTGATTATTTCTATTTTTGTTCTGTAATGTGATTGGTTAGTGTTCTCTAAGTGGCCCCACTTACTGTAGACGCACTGTAATAGGCCCTTTCAAGGTTAATTAAATACAATAGTGCAAGGGGTGTAAACACAATGGAATTCCCTATAGGGAAATTTGCCTGTGGTGAAAACACAATAGTGAAAACAATAGATTCAAGATGGCATCCTAAACCACAGGAGCCCAAGCATTGATCTATGTTTTAATTGATTATTTCACTACATTACACTAATATGTCATATAATAATACTCCTATAATTGAACATATAATAACAATATATAAGTTGATTTGTATTAGCTTATATAAAAGCACCGCCTTTTGAACCTGACAGCCCGTTCGGAGGATACACATGTATGTTATTTCGCACTGAAATAAGAAACAAGACAAGGGATGAAATTACAACACAGCGATGTTTTATTTTGAAGCCGTATGTACTTGTTAAAACAAATTTTAGCTTGAAATTCGGCTACATGATATGTCTAAAGCTAAAGTGCATAGCCATTAAAAAAATTTGTGAAATAAAAGCCCTAGAGTCTTATAAATTGCTATAGTTTTTAATAGCGACGTTTCGTAGCATGAACGCCCCAACTTGACTGGACCTAATGTAGTTCATTTTAAATTTTAAACATCAAAACCGTTACGATCGACACAATTTGGCTTCTCACCTCGAGTTGTAGTTGAGTTTGCTTTCTTGTTTATATCATTGATTCCTAAAGATTGACGGCATTATTCAATACGACACTCATTGCATAATTATCGGTCCACTCAAGTCGGGGCATTCATAGTATGACACACTTTAAGAGTTTCATCCCTTGTTGCATATTTATATTGTTGCTGCCTTCTATTTCAAATCCCACGCGTCTCCCACACGCATATCCTGAGAACTGGCTGTCAGGCGGAAAAGGCGGTGCTTTTATATAAGCTAATAATAGATCTTAATTAAATAAAAAAAACATACAAATACAAATCAACTTATATGTTGTTATTATATGTTTGACTATAGGAGTATTATTATGTGACATATTAGTGTAATGTAGTGAAATAATTCAATTAAAACACAGATCAATGTTTGGGCTTCCCTGTGCCTAAACCTTGAAAAAGGCCCTATTACAGGAACTTTTGCACCATTACTAATGTCATAAATAATGTCACTTTAATTGTTTAACTGATATACTGTAAAGTCTTGAAAGTAAGTGCCCCCTCGAAAGTAAGCGCCCCCTTGAAAGTAAGTGCCCCTCCTAGAACTATTTCACTCTAGTCTATACTTGTACTGTATTTTATATAAAATGTGGTGGGGTCACAAGCGTTTTTGGTCTTTTCATGGGGGGGGGTAATGTAAGTTTTGCTGTTACCAGAGGGGGGTCATGTATAGATGATATTGAGAGGGAGGAGGTCCCCCCAACAATAAGGGATGATTCATTATTTTCTATGAGGGTGAGCTGTCAAAAAGGGGGTGGGTCATGAGGTAGTTTTGACTGTGGAGCCACTTAAAAGTGGAGCCACCTAAAAATATTGGTTCAGAAGGGGGTCTAGTTATTTTATTACATAGTGGGGAAAATTGGACAATGTGTAACGATTATTGCTACCGCAGGGAGCAAGCAAGGCAGCAAATTTAATTCATGTTAGCTGGCAAAATTCTCAATTTTAATCAATAGACCCAAAATGCATGCAGCGAACATGAAAAACAATCGATATCTACCGGGGGCAGGGGTATAAACCTCATCTTGCACAGATATAGGGGTGAATGCCTTATGTTACATATAGGGGCAAGGGTATAAACCTTATCTTACACTGATATAGGGGTGCACACCTTATGTTACATATAGAGGCAGGGGTATAAATATTATCTTACACTGATATAGGGGTGGACACCTTATGTTTCAGTCATAGGGGCAGGGGTAAAAACCTTATCTTACCTGATATAGGATTATAGGGGTGGACACCTAATGTTACACATAGGGGCAGGGGTATAAACCTTATCTTACACTGATATAGGGGTGAATGCCTTATGTTACATATAGAGGCAGGTATATAAACCTTCTCTTACACTGATATAGGGGTGCACACCTTATGTTACATATAGAGGCAGGGGTATAAACCTTATCTTGCACTGATATAGGGGTGAATGCCTTATGTTATTTATAGGGGCAGGGGTATAAACCTCATCTTACAATCGTATAGGGGTTGACACCTTATGGTAACATAGGGGCAGGGGTATAAACCTCATCTTAGACTGATATAGGGGTGAACACCTTATGTTATTTATATAGGCATGCCATGAACTTGCCATAAATTTTCGTCCAAGGGCGGATTTTCATTAGGAGTGGAAAAATTTCTAGAGGAGTGCAAGTGGCACCATTGAGCAAGCTATTTAGAGGGGTCTAAGGGTTGAAGACTTCACACATGACAAAATAGGAGGGGTGAAGCAAAATTTTGGTGGGGCTGAAAACTTTATAAGAGGGGTTAGAGAGAAGGGGGATTACCCCCGGCCCCCAGTAAATCAGCCCATGTTTTTGTCATGTTTCCCTGATGTACATTTTAATAAATGAAAATCACGATACTGTACAAATGATATGAAAATTTTCCTCCAATGATCCCCCTTTGGCACTGTTCCCCCCTCCCCCCGCCTCTGTTTTCCAAGTCAGCTTCCAAAAATAAAGAAATATACTCAAATTGTTGTGGGTAGCCAAAAAATTTCTTAAATCAAATTGGGGTTTCTTCAGGGATTTTTAGGGCTGCCCCAAAAACTCAATCTTGAATTGAGTTTTGAAACTTCATCTTCTGACCAAAAGTTTCATTGTAGTAAAAATGAAGTTGTTTGAGTTTAATACATTTGTGACATGTGGAGATTAGTTTTCAGTTGGAAACCCGACAATTTCTTAAAAATTTCCTGTGTCCCTTCACATTTTACAAAAAATTTAAAGCATGTTTTTATCAGTCGAAAGTAATTGTTTTGATGAGAGATGTGTTTCTTGACACTTTTGAACAGGGTTCGTACAAAACTTGAAAGTCCTTGAATGTCCTTGAATTTGAAAACAAATGGAATTTGTAAAGAAGTACTTGAATGTCCTGGAATTCTTCTTGCTTTAGTTTATGGATACTTTCTGAAATTGTTTGACATTCATCAAGATGGACATTTTGTTGAACTGATTTTGCATGTTCATATCTCACCTCATTATAAAG